TTTCAAAGATACATTAGAAATTCGAATTTACGTTTTTGCAATTTCAACGCCTATTCAACGCTTGTCGTAAGAGGCGACTAACGGGATAGGGTGGTCAGGCTCGCTGGCTTGGTTGACACATGTCATCGGTTCCCAATTGCGCAGATCTATGCTCATGCTGCTGATAACTGGATTGTCTGACCCAGACTCGATTATTACAGACCGCCGCCATAGAGCTGGAATATTGCTGAGTGCAGCGTAAAACTAAACTCACTCATTCACTCACTCACTCGATATTTTGTGTAGGACCTGTTTATCCCTCGAAGATGAGAGTCATATACTGTAGGACTGCACCATATTTACGGACATAAGAAAAGAACTCATTCCAAAGAAAAACGATGGACATTACATATCTATTTATTCGTTCTTCAATTCTCGAAACACTGAAATCATTAATAATTTAGCTAAATATTTTTTCCATGTGTTTAAACAACGAGGGGCACTGTAAACTCTAACTTACTGTTAAATTGCTTTGAATGTTTAATGAATATGTACAATGGGTCGTATGGCTTTTAATGCGAATAAACATACTCAGCATATTATGTTGTCTCTGCTAAAAGAAGTAGGATACAAAAAGAAAATGTTAGAAAAAAAATTAAGATTTTGAATCACTCTCCGGAAAGCGATATGAGCACTAACATAAGCTTAACCCCCGTGCTTTTATATATACTCCCTATTGTGGAACTTGATATAAGTGTATGTACATATAGTTGGTCTATCCCTCCATTGGAGAATGAACTGTTTACGTAATACGGTATATACCTTATAAATATACATGATATATGGAGAAAATTATATGACCATGGCTGCAGCTTTCCGGAGAAGATAATCAAATTGTCATTAATAACGCATAGCCTTGCATAACACCAATCTCTATGGGTAATGTAGGTCGGCGTGAAAGCAGACGTGCTACCGTGTTATAGCCGGACTTATTGTGTGGAGTACAACACCTGTCTCTGTCCAACCTGCATCCACCAGGTAACACCACGCCTCTGTGTGTATTGATCCTTTCAGGGACAGTGAGTCGGCAGAGTCAGTACATTTTTTCCTATATGTGAATAATGAAAGCTATAATTGCACACACTGTGTTGAAATTACATGTTCCAGGGTATGCTTGGTATACTAAAACTGAGCGTGTGAAAATATTCATATAAGCCGTCTGCTTACCGACACCAAGTGTTGTCCCCGACGCTGCGTCAATGCGTGTGTGACTGCAGGCTACCCTTGTGTACGTGACAGACGCGTTCTTACCTTGAATCAGTTACGCCTCTTAAATAACGCCGGTGTGACCTTTGAGCAGTCGTCAGGACAGTAACATTCCGCTTCAATTATGTATGGATGACCTTTAAAACAGCGAAACCGGGTCAAGATAAGAGACGCGTGGACTGTTTGCATACTAATGCAAACAGTGTTATATCAAAAATTAGATGTGTCAACAGAACAGCGCAAAATTATCTCTGCCACTATCACATGTCAGGTGTATCTCGCCATGATATAATGTGAATACTAGTGCCCGGCTGTAATATTTGTTTCCCCACTTGATTGTGATGCAGGGCCTATATTTTCGAAGCTCTCTTAGCACTAAGATAGTCGTAAGTGCCATACATTAACATTAACTTAAGACTATCTTAGCGCAAAGAGAGCTTCGAAAATCTAGGCCCAGGTTGTGTGTGGCCTGATTTTGTGACAGTGAGTGTCTGATGCTGGAGTACTGCTGAAGACTGTATCTGGTGAGTAAGTTTTATTGAGTAGTTGGTTGTTAACGCTGCACTCAGAAATATTCCAACTGTGTGAGTCTGAGCCAGACAATTCAGTGATTACCATCATGAGCATCGATTCATGGTGTTGGAGTACGAGCACATGCAACAAGCAAGTAAGTCAACCTGACCATGCGACCACGTTAGTTAAGCCTGATATGCCTGTTAAGCCTCTTGCACGCATATTCACGAATTCTTTGTGGTACGCCTTTACGTCATACCGTGAAATGTCATTGTCTCTTTTCAAATGATGTAAGAGGAGTACATTTTCGAAACTGGACTTTTTTCTTCATGTAATGCTAAATTTTTTACAATAAATTTGGAACAAATGTTATATTTCGGATTACACTTTCTAAGTAAAGCACAGATTCCAGTACTTTTGTTGGGTTGAGTCCCATCCGGGATTCGAATCCACACCCTCAGAGTCAGGCAGATAATCGCCACCACACAAAGACAGCCGCCTAACCAACTCAGCCACCATAGCTTCTAATACATTTGGAACCTACAAGTCGATATATAAATGTAGCTGATGCATCTACAAACGATGGTACAGAACAAAGTATAGTGGCAAGAATAAAAAATGTACTTTCATTAGAACAGCTACGGTTTGGTAACTTTATAAAACATTCCTACCATTGCTGAGCACGAACGCACCAACCGTAGCTCTGCAACGAAATGTATTGTGCCATACATACCTTGAGGCAAATATTAATACTGTTTCTGAAGAAACTACTACAGAATATGTTCATTTCAGAAACCAAATGGTACGTAATACTAACTACTGTAGGGACAATTTCTGTTCCACTTCCACGTACTGGCCGAGGTGTAATGTCACGCGTGTGATGACACGGACGCGAAAGGTCACATCAGTATATTTTGGTCACCGTCATCGTCAGTTTTGATATGATCATCAGGTTCCGTTTGGTGGTGGAATTGGGTTTAACGTCATGCTTGAGAATATTTCGCTCATATGACGACGTGCATGCGTGTGTATGTGTATGTGCGGCTGCTTGTACTAGCCCAGACTGAAGCTGGTTTTATAGTGCTAGCCCACTGTGATACCATGCCGCAGTGAAGCATGAATGCCCCACTCAGATACATTATACTGACTCCGAGCCATCCAGTCCTTGTTGTACCCATTAATGCCGAGCGCCAGGCAGGGACCAACAAGTACCATATTTTAACGTCTTTTGGTATGACGCAGTCGGGGATCGAACCCGCGACCTAAACAAGGTTCCGTTTGACCAGACTTAACATGTATGTATAATATTAATAATCGGAATATTTTAGATAGTTACAAAAGCAGCTAATGTGCTCACGCCACCAGAAAAATGGATATTTTTGGGGTGCTGACGGTTGCAGCCCAATGGAACATTGTATATGCCGGTATCATGCAACACCGGAGTTTCAGGTACAAATCAAGCTGGGATGTGTCATGTGCCATGGAATGAATCATCAAATGATTTCTGATATTTATTTGCAAATATTCATAGTATGGTTGTCCTCTTGGCCTGCTATCTTTGTGTTTTGGAAGAAGCCAGTTATCAATTAACTTTGGGGCATGATATATCTGTGTACATTACATGTCAAGTCATGTATCATTGTGTAATGACATTCCTGTAGCACCTTACAGAAACACCTCGGCCTTTGCCGTAGTAGTGGTACAGGGGCATAAAAGAAGGCTCGTTTGCTGGCTACACAAACTATGGAAAATTACATTCACGTAGTAGGGCAACAATTAGACTAAGGCTTAGTCTCTGAATATATATAATTTTGATAGTAACAAACAAGCCCATTTAAATTGAAAAGGAGCCCTAAGGAGACCAGAGATCCTGAACCTGGGGAAATCTAGACTTGCTTCGTTTAGGGCTTTAGCACTACAGGGAAGGCTAGGCTGTAGGGAAAATAATGTGGTTCAGGGACTGTGAGACAGACTAGGCAACAATAGAAGCAAGCCTATTCTTTTGGTGGGATGCGGGAATCCGAACACCTCATAGAAGTCCAGCTGAACACGGCCTCCTATTGACATAGTATTTTCCGCGACCAAAGTAATTAACTTCGCCTGATTTATCACTGTAAATGACCAGTTGCCACGGAAACAAATGAATATAATCGTTAAAAACATAACCCCTGTGATAAAGTAGTCCATTTGATAAAACATGTATGTAATTGTGAATGTCATCATGATGTTGTGCTTCACATTGATGCAACCAAGGTCTATCGAAAGTGTTGTGAATTAACGACGAACTTCCGTTTTACTTTTCAGTCCAACAACTACAGTAGAACACGGATATAACGAACTCCAAGGGACCAAGAAATTTAGTTCGCTATATCCGTGTTCGCTATAACCATGTTCTACTGTATATCCATTGAAAACAAGGCTTTCGTATTTAAACCTTCTGCGACCTTTGACTATTGCTGGCTTAAAATACAACTTGGGATGAGAGAAGTTTGTAGTAAATGACAACTTGTAGGCGAGACAATTGCACATTATATTTACTGATGACCTCACCTGAACATGTCAGGGGCGGTGGAGTAACCTGCTGGTTAAAGCGTTCGATCGTCACGCCGAAGACCCGGGTTCGATTCCCCACATTAGTACAATGCGTGAAGCCCATTTCTGGTGCAACCCGCCATGATATTACTGGGTTATTACAAAAGGATGCGCTCACTTACTGCACATATATAACCCGTTGACATGAGAGTACTGTTTTATTTAACTATCGCGGCAAGCAACGAATTTTGAGTCAGAGGAAGCTAATTGCCGTCCGTTACATGACGTTTGCAGATTTCTATTTGATATGAGACAGCTATTGCAAAACTTATATGAAATCACACGATGAATCGGTACTGTGCCCCTGCCATACTAGCTGGGACAATATGTAAAATGGAACCAGTACGTTTCAGATCCCACGTTCAGTTACGACTGAGTTAAGTATTTCCTGTACATGTCGGTGTGTGCGTGTGCGTGTGCGAGTGTATGTGCGTGTGCTGGCTCGTGAGTAGCATGGTGCTGGCCCAAAGTGACATGGTTCATACATGTTTAGCACTTTGTTGACACCCTCGAGCGTCCGTATATTTCTCACTGACTGAGGGACAGCATTGGCACAGATCATTTTCAGACCTATGATCAAGCTGTGCGTTAAACATTTGTCTGTTTCCAATCTCCATTATTCAAAACAAACAAAACAACATTATAAAAAATAATTTTTTAATTTTATTTCCCCTTTCAGCTTCGCACCGACAATGAAAGATGTTATTGTAAATGGACATGGATTAATCAAATGATAATATTTCTTTGATAAAATGATAAGTTTTCCTTGAGGTTCATCCCAGATTTTTGGCGAGGTGTGAGTCAATCGTGGCAGTGTTAGAGTTGTTGTATCACAATATTTACATCACAGTTGAGTGTTGTTTCCCCGCCAAATGTCATTGGTGGATTGCATCACAGTTGCCTTGGTAACAATGAGGTCATCAAAGTCAGAACGAGGTCCTACATTCACGTGATCTTTAAAATACTAGCATACAACATGTGGACGGAATTTGATTTGGGCATAGAAAATACAGACCACTAACATGGATGATACTCCTTGAAAACGTTTGGCCCCATAGTACCAAAATATTAAATTATGCAAATTAGCTATGTATCTTGTCGGTTTAGCTGAAGCACACCTCTCCTACGTCGATGCCAAATTGTTGGTTTTCTCCACCAATATCGAATAGCAAGACATCGACTAAAGGCAATAGTTCTGATTTGTTGGTCCTAACTTCATATCTGTTTGTATGCCATTGGTTATCTTTAGATGATACCTGGAAGAGAAAAATGTTAGTGTAAATAGGCGTGTTGTCGCAGAGTACGATATAACGTATACCAAGACATCTTTCTTTTCAGTACAGAGTTTACACAAATTCACGTGGTTCTTATAAATATGTCACAAACTCCCCGCCTCCCAATATCATTTGAAAAAATTAGTCTGCCAATCTGCGGTCTCGTTAATGAATTACATATTTCAGTCTTAAGATAATAACTTACATTTTCACATTCTCCCTCCAGGATGTCGATGTATGTTGACCTCTTGAATCTACCCTCAGCTGAGTCAAGTTCGTCGCCGGAATCGGTGATGAAGCGGGTGCCGTAGGTGTGGGAGTTGAGGCAGTGGTATGTAACTCCCTGTCTGGCGCTCTGGGAGTCGAACTGGAGAACCTTCAGCTGAGTCACATCGATGTCGTACTTGAACTGCAATAGAATAAGATCACCGATCACTCATATGTGCACTCAGTGAGGTAGCATAAGGTCAAATGGCATTACCTTTGTGGTTTTCAACCAGATTCATTACAAGTTAGACAACGTAGCACATTTAATAAGAAATGGATCTCCACGTTTGCAAAGGATCTGATGATATAAGAGTTGTTCAGTACAAATTGAACAATCCAATTTGATCCACGTTATGTCAACTATATGCCTACTTTTACGCATTCTAATTCTATAGGGGCGGTGGGGTAGCCTAGTGGTTAAAGCGTTGGCTCGTCACGCCGAAGACCCGGGTTCGATTCCCCACATGGGCACAATGTGTTAAGCCCATTTCTGGTGTCCCCCGCCGTGATATTGCTGGAATATTGCTAAAAGCGGCGTAAAACTAAACTCAGTCAGTCAGGCAGTCTAATTCTATAGCCCTTGGAAAGAAGCAGTATCTAACATAGTTTGTTGTATTCTCTGGTATTGTACATACCAACCGTAGTACGAATACATGTATAATCAACTGTTTCTCGATTCCATGAAACAAGAGCGTCTGAGACGTACCTCCTTGACCTTGCCGAAGACATCGGACATGAAGTATTGGCCACTGGTGCTGTCCTTGGTCCAGCGGTCACGGCGGTACTGTAATAGCATCAATGACTCATAAGAACAGATTTCAATGTCAATGCAGTGCATCTTCTTCGTTATGTGCAGAAATATATATACATCAAGTACATAAGAATCCACTTGAACCCTTTTTTTCTGATATTTGTTATCGACAAGGACCAGTCTTGCTGTGGCCAATAACCTACCTCAGTAAGCTTGGGCTTAACGCATGTCTCAAGGGTCTCCATTCTGCAGAATACCTTCACGGCGTCAAGAGCAGAGTCGGCATTAGGATCGATCCAGTACTCGCCTTCAAGAAGAAATGCACTGATTAAAAATCTGTTTCGAACTGATCTTGTCTATATTCCTTTTGAAGCAATATTCAGTTATTTTCATCTGTATTAATTATGTCAAAAAAAGTTCAGGTCGATATCTTTATGTCAAATGTAAGCAAATTAGTAAAAACATTTCCACATTTATAAATATCTGATGAAAGTCAGTGGTACGATTCCGACTGTGTTTATGAATCAGCCAAACGTTACACATGACTGTCCTGTTAGTTTTTACTGACCATCCTTGAAGTCGGGGTTGCTGAGTTTGATGTCCCTGCAGTTCTTGCCAGGTGAAGTACGGCTGCCGAGTCTGGAGTTTCCTATACGGACGATAGCCTCTCTAACTCTGTTGAGGTTCTCATACACTGCCATACCGCCCTGCATGACACACATGTTAATGAAACCGGAACACTTCATACTGACATGATGTTGGTTGCAACCATTTGTCGGGTAATTGTAAACTTGTACAGTTAAGTGAGAGGGTCTATTTTGCTGTAGTTAGCATAACTCCCATTTATACTGCAGTTTTTTTAAGTATTGCTGTATTAACATCAAACGCATTGAGTTATTTGTAAATTATTTTTGTTACTTTCTCTGCCAAAGTTTCCAGAACGCTGTGTACACTTATCACGTCTTCTTGACACTGTACTATTTCATCACATATTGATATTGCACTTACCTCTGGCTCATCATACTGAAAAGAAAAGACAGGTTCTTATTAGATATTGATACTCATTACACAAATATCTTAAAATAGTTTCTTTAATATTTTATAGCTTTTGATAATATTTTTTCCCAAACCACTCTACTGAAAATCTGGTCATTGATATAAATGGGTTCAACTATTTTAAAATACTACCACAGCTGTTTTGTTTAAAAGTCCCCTTTAATCGTATCAATTTACGGCGTTAATGATGACTCACTTGGTATGGGTCTGGTCCCTTGTTCCAGTTTGGCTGAGGTGAATATACTGGTCCGTAGCCCTGAAAATATTTACGTATGAACAGTTATTATTCCATCAGTCATGACAGCTAGCGCCGAGATGAAGGACATACTCTACAAATTCCACGCTTAAGAGTACACTTTAAAATCCCCTTTATTCCAATTACATATAAACAATTTAAAGTTATACTTCAGGTAACAAAAAAGCAAAAACTGTGCCGTTTCAGTAGGATAAGTGAATAGGGTCTTGAGCATTTTAATACAATATTCTAGCCATATCAAAGGCGGAGGGTTCATACAATGGATTTAAATATAGAACGACCAGGCTAGAGAAGCATAGGACGAAACAAGTCCATTGTGAAAAGAAAGGAAACAAAGGTTGAAAATAACATGAAAGGACACCTTCCGTACATGAGGGGAATGGAGCCTGATACGAGTGGTGGGTTTATATGCCACTCCACTGACTGAAAGTAAATCAACAGTATGTTTGTACTTACGGGTGGTCCGGGTGGTCCAGGAGGTCCGGAAGGTCCCTTGGCTCCCTATAATATCACAGTTTACGTTGAAAATACAAAGTGTCATGCTCAGTAGTGTTATTGCATTAACTTTTCAATAAAACACATATTTTGTAAAGATATTAAATCGGACATTGCAGTGTGCATTTCACAACTAACAAGTTTAATGCCACTTAAAGAAGTAAATACTCAAGACTGAATATGAATGGTATTCGTCTCGTTTGTTAAGATATTACAGTATTTACTAGTCAAGTAATGAGTTGTCCACTTACAGTGAGTCCGTCGTCACCAGATGGTCCACGAGCACCCTGAAATCAGAAGAAGGTCAAATGTCGAGGAATATGTAACAAAATGTTGGGCAAAAGTCATAACATTTAGAAATGGTTGTGCTTTTCCATCAAAATCATTATTTTAAAGTTTAATGGTTTCAAAAGTCACAATGAAACAAACGGTGGTTGTCACAAAGAGCCTAATGGCGATAAGCGCCATATTGTATATTACGGGTTGAAAGTGTAATGCTCACAGAAGGTCCGGGAGGTCCCTGTTGACCGGGGCTTCCACTACGGCCGGTACGACCGCGACTTCCAGATTTTCCCTGAAAAAATAGCAACATCATCAACTTCTCGTTACAGAACATGCGTCAAAGAAAATACATATCCATTTAATATCCATTTTGACAGTTCATAAATAATACTTCTAAAGGTCGTGATATCTGACGGGGCAGATTCTATCGTTCGTTAAAGAGAAAGCTGTAATAAAAAAATATTGATGGGTAGCTGAGAAACAGAAATTGCTATATTCTACCTGTGCAAATCCATAGGTTTATGACTTATTTCCATCAGTAATGATTGCTCTTTAACGGTAAGTACGTCGTTACAGTGTAAGGTACAAGTCTTGCAATACATGAGGCATGTCCTTTACTTACATTCTGGCCTGAAACTCCGGGAGGTCCTGGTGGGCCGGGGTCTCCATTGCTTCCCTACAATGAGACATTAAAAATATCAAAATAATATGTTAAACCCGATAAATATGGCGCTACTATGAAACAATTACAAAAATGAATCTGATGATGTTGTGTGTTTCCGAAAGATATCAATAACAGGTAACTTGGCTGGTGCCAGAAAATCGATAATTCCAAATAGGAATTGGTTATCCATAAATGGATATAACAGCTTGAATATTGTAATGGTTTTAAGGTTTTTATGTACATATACTGATCAGCTGTTTAGCCGACATTACCGACATAACCCATCTGACAACAGTGAAGGTTACTAACGAGAGGTCCGGGTGGTCCTTGGGGTCCAGGCATTCCTGGCCAGCCCTTGTCGCCCTGTAACATATCCATGGTAACTTGAGAATCACATTCTTGTCATCATTCGGCATTATTCATAGTTTTCAAGCACACACTGCAGGGAATAATTTAAACTGACATGTTTAAACGTGACAAATTTTGAAAGTAGTTTATAAGTGGTTCAAATTATGAAAATGAAGAAAGAATTCACTTTGTGGGACAATATATGTGACAGAATATAAGGCACATGAAGCTCTGCCATTACGTACCTTAGCTCCATCCCATCCGTTCTCTCCCTTCTCTCCGACAGCACCGCGGGCACCCTGTAATGATGTATTGAGCCGTTAGCAGAGTATAGAAAAATATTATGCAATTTAACACAGTACTTCACCTTAACAGTACTCAACAGATGATAAACATATATGCCAGGAACGGCATAGCAAATTAGTACAGTAATGTTGGTAAGACATAAATCCATTATATTTTATATGCAATTCTGAAATACCAGTATATATGAATACATCCACATGGTGAATATAAGCAAATGTATTATATGTATTACAGCAGTATGCTCCTTATATTAACACATTGACGTATTATTTGTTTACATGTTTGAAAGGATTTCATGGGATGTATATGTCAGATACATACAGCGGGTCCACGTTGTCCGGTTAATCCAGCAGGTCCACTGGAGCCAACTTCTCCCTAAACATAAGTATTATACATATAATGGATCATAAAACGTAAGTTCAATCTTCAGTAGGACGGATTTTATATGCATGGAGTTCTTGTTTGTACCATTAGTGAAATAGTATCTCTCAAAACAAAACCATAATATAGCTTTTACATTAAGCTCTACTTTACCATAGATAGCATATACATTTAACATATAAAACTCACCCTCTCGCCACGTTCTCCCTGAGGTCCGGGAGGTCCGGAGTTTCCTGGTGCGCCCTGGAATTTAAACAGTTTATTAAAACATGTTCAGGAAATATTCATAGAACACGTTTTAAATTGAAATTTTCACTTTTGAGAGAAGAGAATATATCAATACAACATGTTAATACAACTTACGACAGGTCCATTCAGTCCTGGTGGTCCAGTGGCTCCACCGGCTCCACGAGATCCCTTAGCTCCTGAACGTCCAACAGGTCCGAGTGGTCCATCCTTTCCTGGAGATCCCTGAGACAAAAGATCATGATCCATTTGGTGTAGGCAGGTAATAATATATTTAATTTATTTCATGAAAAATATTAGGTTCATTATCCATCAGAAAGAAGACCGGAGACAACTGCATACAAAGGCGTATGCATTAAGTGAGTACACTATTTTCTGTTTCTGATGTCATCATTTATTCAGAAGATACTTAAGCGCTATTACCTGTTTGGTATAATGACCACGTACGTGAGTGGGTGTATTAGTTATATAGGAGATATGTTTATGTGCTATTGTATGTTTCACGTTTTGCACTAAAGGTGAATATCAGGTACGATGACAGAATCCTTACGGGTTGTCCAGTCTCTCCTGGGTAACCGGCAGGTCCGGTAGGTCCTGGGGGTCCGGCTTGTCCTGGGGCACCATCATTTCCATCTTCTCCACGAAGTCCGGGCTCTCCCTACAAAAGTTTTTGGGCGTCATTACGTTAGTATTTGTGAAGGGGAAAATCCTATATGACGGCTTGTTCAATTTGGGTAAAGCATTCGTGTAAACGACTATTAAACTAAACATCACATTGCCGCACATTATAGATTAGGTGACTAAGAACTCACAGCAGATCCGGGGGGTCCAGATGCACCAGCCTCTCCCTGAGAACCTGGGAATCCGTTGGCACCGCGCTCTCCTTGGGGTCCTACTGGTCCGGGAGGTCCAGATGGTCCCTGCATCAAAACAATACGATTGTTCAATACATGGAGTATCTGTTAATCAAGCCTTAAAGCTGATCAGTTTCTGCCAAGGCTTTTGCCATACCGTACACTGTGACGCTGTATCTTCAATTTATCGGGCTTAAACATCGCCCTTACACAGCCATATAGTTATGAACATCAATGGAAGGTAGTTTACTTACGTTGAGTCCGGAAGATCCCCTCTCTCCTTGGGCGCCATCAAGACCAGGAAGGCCAGGAGAACCAGGTTCACCTGCACGACCGGGAGGTCCAGTCTCACCACGCTCGCCCTAAATAGCAGATAACGTTAATACTGAACGCGTGTCTATACAGATATAGATATATCTATATTCTACCATAATGTTTATAATGCAAACAATAGTTTCAGCTAGTACCATTTCAATTTGGTCTTTATCAAATTCTAGCATTGTGGAAACAAATATGAAAACGAGTCAGTCTAAAAGAAACCACATACGCCATCTCCGGCCAATCCAGTAGCTCCTGAGGGTCCGGGGGGTCCTTGAGCGCCTGGGGAGCCAGGGGGTCCAGCACGTCCTGGGTCGCCTGGGGTACCAGAATTGCCGGGAATACCACCAGATCCACGGTTGCCCTTCCTGCCCTCGCGTCCTTCATTTCCCTGAAAATAATCGCATAGTTACAGCTGGTAGGTTGGAAACCCCAATGCAACGAAAACGGATTTAACTACGAATTCCTGCCGCACGCTTTAATATTATAAATGCCCGAACGTTCAGAATTATGCATTTTTACGATAACATCGACAATTTTCATAGAGCGTTAACCATTTTAATCTAAAAAAATCGAAATACGAACTATATCAGACGTCGTTTGGAAACGGTAACAGCCACACTGAATGACGTGGCTCTATTAAAATCTACAGAAGTGAACGTACTGGTGCGCCGATTGGTCCAGCCTCGCCAGGGTATCCACGTGCTCCGTTGTCGCCCTGAATGAAGAATGATTTATTGCGATTTAGTTTAACTAACATTCATATTGCTATTATCGTTATTCTCATATATTTTTTAAACGCCCTAACAAATTAACATGATATTGAAGTTTGTGTGACCACATTATTATATTGTGCTATTAATACAGCTGTATAAGACATCTTACCTTGGCACCAGTCTGTCCGTCGTCTCCTGGTTGTCCCATCTCTCCTGTAGGTCCCTGAATACGTAGAAGTAAATCATTGCAGTTTTATGAAAGTACGGTGGTTAGAAATAATTGCATTGTCACATACCAGCTACCAAATACCAGGTCAGAGTACTGAATGGCACCATTTATAATATCAATGGTATAATAAGTATATTACGAGCATCAACTACATCAAATAGCGATTGTGGTTTAAATCATTCATAAATATACAGATCAGTGAATGGAAACATATAATAAAACATTATGATACTAAATTAGAAAACGACTACATACTGTACAGTACAAAGATGCTTTCAATTATGATGAACAATTACTATATCAAATTTTTTATCAATGCAACAACATTCTGTTGATATCATTCAGGTGTAGGTTACACATTACAGACAAGGTCACTAGATCGTCACTTACAGCAAGTCCAGTTGGTCCTTGTGGTCCCTGGGCTCCTGCAGGTCCTCTCTGTCCAGATGAACCTGGTGAACCAGGCTCTCCAGAGGGTCCAGTTTCTCCGCGGTCTCCCTTGGCAGCAACAAGTCCTGAAGGTCCGGGTTGACCGGGTGATCCTGGGGCTCCAGCCTCACCTGGGCGACCAGGTTCTCCATCCTGTCCACGCTCGCCAGTGAGACCCTACCCAAAGCAGCAAATCACGTTTGTGAAAACTCTTGGAGAATCAGTTTAGGGTGATCAGTTTTCGCTTCATCTTTATCATTAAAACACATAATTTCTATACCATTACATTGCCAACAAAGTTGTGTCAATAAATGTATCTTATTACTTTCTTTGCTGAACGGCCATAACATTGCAAATGTCAAGTTACATATTATATAATTCACTCGCTTGTAGGTATGATGTTTAACAAACAAACCCTGTTTCCTGGTGCTCCGACACGTCCAAGTGGACCTCTCTCGCCAGGCATACCCTGAAACAGACCACCATGATGAGATTCCAATACATAATCAATTTATTATTTACGTTAGAACTAAGACAATATGAAACCTTTGTATGTAATACAGTCTCTTGAGGATACAGGGTTTAAGGATGGTATCTAATAGTTGGTTGGATCGTAAGAAAACACCAATGACATGGTTGTCATTTTGGTAAACAAAGTATTACTCACGATAAGACCCTGAGCGCCGGCATCTCCTCTAGCTCCAGCGGGTCCGGGTGGTCCCTGAAACAAAGGTAATCGGAATAAGCTACCAATACCTAGATACACTTGTAAACTAATACTGCTACATCGCATCAGCATCAGCCATGGGGCAATCGATATACCCCCCAGTAGTGTTTTAATACGACACCCATATCACCACAAAGTTCACTCATTATATCAAATATGGGAATCGAATCCGGTCTGCGACGTAACAAGTGTTATATAGGCATCTGAAGTGCGAATTTAAGCATTAAGCAATTATATTATAACAATGTTCCCGTTTTCATCACTGAAAGGTTTGGTGAATTAAGTCATACTGTGGATTACTTACAGATTGTCCGACTTCTCCAGATGGTCCACTTGGTCCTCTCTCACCTGGGGCACCACGTGATCCAGCAACTCCAACCTCTCCGGGGGCACCACGCTCACCCTAGGAAACAAGAGACAACGTTCTCACACTTAAGATGTTGTATTGATAAAGGATTGTGTACTGAGGTCAAATGACAATGATGTGTGAATGTAATGCTTTTCGTCACATATATGCAATCGGTAGCATCGAACAGAACTACAGATGAACCATCTCGAGATATTCATTATTAATCGTTCTATCGGTGCCTGACGCTGATTTTCTTTCAAGAATGATGCTGTATCATTCAATACCCTGCTCTCAAATTGGACAATTGAGAATGCTGCTTACTCTCTCTCCGCTTGCGCCAACCTCTCCGGGGATTCCAGTCTCACCAGGGGGTCCTGAGCGTCCAGCTTCGCCGGGGGGTCCAGCGGGACCGGGAAGTCCCTGGAATCCTTGTTCACCTGGACGGCCGGAAGATCCAATCTCTCCTTCAGCGCCCTATGTATATATATACACACACACTGTGAAATAATCTTTCATGGAATACATTCTAGTGGGCATATAAATTTGATTGTCGTGTAACCTTTTGTTGTAACTTATAATCAATTATTATGCAAATATATGCATGATTATTTGTATTTAACAATTATCAACGAAATCAGTTACGGTAAGAGATTTTCATGACGTACGGGTGATCCTGGGGGTCCCTCCAAACCAGCCTCTCCGGCAGGTCCTCTGGGTCCACGGGATCCTGGTGCTCCTGGTCTGCCAACATCACCGTCCTTGCCTGCTGAGCCCTTATGTGAGTGAAAATAACGCAAACTGCAGTATCGTCATGGGTGCATCATACAATGTTAGCTTGACGTATCCAAGATACAGAACATTATCTCAGTATTACATTTCGGATACAAACACAGAATTACGTCCTTCAGCATATAAGGAGTGCAGTGCTATCAGTGTCATCAGCTGGCCAAATCATCTTTATCATCTTGTACATCATAACATCGTTATGTCGAACGTTGCTGCTCACAGCTTTCTTGAAGTAAAAGCAGGGCGCCCGCGTTTTACATATTTGGGCACAATTTTACTGTTATTTCGAACCTCGGATAACTCGAAGTATTTGTATAGGTCTCACTTCAACGGTGTTTGACTGCACTTCAACCTGTAAAGAGTACGTACAGTATCTCCCTTGTTTCCAGAGGGGCCCTGAAGACCTGGGGGTCCCTGGATGCCCTGGGGTCCTTGTTCTCCTGGGTTACCATCAACTCCGGGGTTGCCCTGAAACAAGATATTTGCATTGAAGGGCGAGAATAGCTGTATTTCGAATCACTTATTTTGATAAAAGAAGTCAGATTTCGATTTCATTTTGATCGATGTACCTCCGATAATTACTTAATAATTAATATATTTTTTTGGCTGTAGAAATGTCACTTCCACACGTAAATGGTATTCTGTTAATATTTTCGACGTTTGTGTTTATCACCAGTTAAAGTTGTACTCACAGCGGGTCCACGCTCGCCAGGGGCACCGTCAGCACCAGGGAATCCTGGGGCACCCTGTATGGAAGATAACATAATGACTCAATGCACGATAATGTCAGAAAATAATAATCAATAGATTTGATTATTAGCTAAGATTGGTACGGGCCGCTCAGCGTAAAGGGCGTGTACTCGTGCCCAGGCTCTCGGGAACATATTAAGAGATGAATCCAACTCAAGTCAAGTATCATGATTTGGCTTGTCCAGATTGGATCAACTTTGTTCATTTAGCATCGGTTTGAACTCCGTTTGAATTTTATTGTATATTTTGTAGACATATATTTTAAATAATTAACTTAACTTCTGGGACTACATGTCAGTCGAGGCTACGTCACACCTTAAAGGAAACCAGCTCAATTAATAAAATGTGAATATTTAGTCATCATTGTTCAGTACGATTTCTTGTCATAATGGTGTGATTTCACGAAATGCATGGCTGTCCTCACAGGTAACGTCATTGAACGGAAGGTTACTCACACGAGCTCCGGTTTGTCCAGCGCTTCCTGGGGCTCCAGCTACACCCTGCAATACAAAGTAACATTGTCTCATTGTTGATTAACGCGTCATGTCTTAATGGTTATTCTGCATAGATGTAGAAACACAACGTAGGTGACGTTTCAGTGATCAATTAGTTGCTATGGGAAACATGAAATTATACGTTATTCGAAACAGTAGGTTTTGTTTGCTGTGACATAGACAGTGAACATATGATCGATAACAGGAAGTGTCAATGATAGTGTCTACAGTTATCTATGACAGTGCCACAAGATGATATTACGTAGTACTTACTTGTTGTCCAGCCTCTCCGCGTTCTCCCTGGAGACCACGTGCTCCATCCTTTCCAGCAACTCCTGCAGCGCCGGGGCGTCCAGACATTCCGGGGGTTCCGGGAAGTCCCTGACAAGTTCAAACATCATCATTAATAATTTACATTTCCTTGAAATACATTACTGGATATAAACTGTATGTCGTTGTGAGTCATGTTTATGTGTTTAAAGTGTGAAAGTCATAGTCTTTATTATTAGTCCCTAAAAAGTTCATTGATCATCATTTATAAATAACCTAATATTTCCTCAGAAAAAAATCATTGAATGTAAGCTTTATTCATTGTAACAACTATGTTAGACGTTTTTAAATCATGTTTATATACTTATACACAGGGGAAAATACAAGTAAGGCAGTTTAATACTATTAAAGGAAAGTAGTATTCACCCTTTCACCGCTTGGTCCTGAGGAACCGGGGGGTCCACCTGCTCCAGTGGCTCCCTGTAGGAGAGGAAAATGTTATTAATTGCAAAACTCATGCTGATTAATGAATAAAGGGAATACATGTCAGCAGTTTACAAAGGGCAAAAGCATCTCTGGAAATCAATTTTCAATATTGCTTTAAAAATATAGTAATATGTTGAACAATGTGTGACCAATCGCTCGTCAGCTTCGAATTGGTTCCATACATGTGAACCATAATTTCAGGACATTGCAATGCAGTGCCATAATTAGAGCAGTGAAGACATGATGCCCTATTTAACTACAGATCTCATCATTTTTCAATTGACTGCACAGGCAGAAGTGGTACATACTAGGTTATAGTGGGAGGTTATAATGTTTTGCCTACCCTCTTTCCCTCCTGACCAGGAAGTCCAGGCAGACCTCTCTCTCCTTGTTGACCGGCTTGACCAGCAGCTCCAACCTCTCCCTGGCTTCCGGGGCTTCCATCACGTCCCTGTACCGAGATCAATGTTACACGTGGTGATTGATTGAAACGACCTGGTATTTAGCTGGACAACAAATTTGACAACAAATCAATCAACAGTTGTTAAATGTACACTGTACTTATCAGTTTAACTGATCTCGAGATTGGATAACTGAAATACAGACCTGATCTCCCTTGTTTCCAACAGCACCGGGGGCACCTGCGGCTCCGGGAGGTCCCTGGGGACCGGGGAAGCCAGGAGAACCGGGTCCACCAGCGGGTCCCTGTAATAAGGAATTCATACATGGTAGATATGGCAAACATACAACAGTAAATTTTGAATTAAGAACAATTTGATTATAATTAAAATGATCACAATGACAAAGATTTTGTCTACTGATCGAGAGTAATCAGTTGTATTAGATTACAACTGTTCAACAACTTCCCTTTCTAACAAGGTTTATCATAAGTGATGATCCAAGCTCACCATCTCGCCCTTAGTACCAGGATTGCCATCATCACCAGGGGAACCAGGCCTTCCAGGTTGACCAGGTTGACCAGCGGCGCCATTGTTTCCGGGGGCACCTTGTGCTCCCAATGGGCCACGATCTCCAGATTGACCAGCATCTCCCTATAAAGCAAGTCAGTATGTTGACTGTATCGTGAAAGAGTCATTACAAGATGACTGTCTCATGAGCCCCTTATTTCTTACTAATATATTTATAATGCAAACTCCGGTTGTTCAGAAAATTTCAAAACACATCTTAAAACTTGAACGGAATGACCTAATTGATCCCCATGTTCGCCTTGACCGTAATTCTGCCAGAAATGTATTTTACCTTAGCTCCAGATGATCCGGGGAATCCAGGGGGTCCGGGGGGTCCAATAGGTCCTACAGATCCAGCGTTACCAGCCATACCATCTTCTCCACGGATACCCTTCACAACAAATACGACGTCATCAGCCATTTGATTGTTTATATAATTTACATGGAGATGCCAGAAAACGCAAATAGTTCAAGATATATTTTTTTAAGTGGATTTGTATCCTTAAAACAGTAACTTTATATAAACGACAAGGTATTAGTCCTTACGGGGGCTCCGGGACTTCCGTCACGGCCTCTCTCTCCGGGGGATCCACGGGGTCCCTGAGGTCCAGAAGATCCTGGGGCTCCAGATGCACCGGAAATACCCTGAAGTATGGAATACAAACGTTAGTGGAAAAGGCAACGACTCCCATCATTTCAGTATAGGTTGCACTGCACACGACACATTGTAAGTCAAACGCGATGACCCGTTGTATGGAAGAGAATGTCTCGCTGGACTTAAAGAGAATTGTAAATTGTAAAGAAATATATATCAAATGTATTGTACAGGAATGTATACATATGAACATTGTGCAGGAATACGTACTTTCTCTCCTTGCTTTCCTTGTTCTCCGTCACGTCCGGGACGACCAGAAGCTCCCTGTAACATAGAATACACAAATTAGTTAATTTATTGGTGAAAAAATATTCTGAAGTAGAAGCACAGAATGTTTTAAAACTCTTCAAAATTATTGTTGACACTACCCGTAGTTACACAATAAATACAGGCGATGAAAAATGACATTATTATATTTGCTCACTCTGTGTCCTTTGGGTCCAGGCATTCCTGGCATTCCTGGGCGTCCAGATGATCCCTACAGAACAGAGAAGGCGGTCCATCAGAAGGTCATGACAACATACATATGAAAATAACATCTATAAGACGAAGTATGTTGGATCACTTTGTGCAATAAACATTACCGGGTAAACTTAGGCGTAAAATGGTAACAGAGAAATTATATGAAAACGTTGCATTGAACTTTCGTGTTATATATATTATAAAGCTTTTAAGGTTGTGAACCAGTATAAATGGTTGCCAGGTAGCTACCATTTTAGTTTAGTTAACCATATGTCCGTAAGGTGAAACATTCAAGTTTTTAGATTCTATAAATGAGTGCTATGACGGTCATGTGTTGGTCGGTCATTACTTACAGGTGATCCAAGAGCTCCGGCTGGACCTGGGTCTCCAGGCATACCTTCCTCACCCTGTATCAGACAGAAACAGTGAATAAATAGCCATTACACGGGAGATGCAGGAAGATGCCATAAAGAACAGGTTTCACATTCCAGTAAATAGAAACAAATGTTAAAATACAGTATGTTACATACGCATCTGTAGCGTATGGAGAAGTAGAAGACAATCTTATAACTTGTTGACTGGGGTATAAACATTTGGTGTAATGTCATTTTATTATTTACTATCTTTGTATAATGTAGTGATGAAGTTGAGTCAAATTATCTTGGCGATGTGGGTTATTTGTTACGAGAGAGTGACGGGCTGGGAGTCACTCACATCGAGACCGGGGGGGCCAGGTGGGCCAGCAAATCCACGTTGTCCAGAGGAACCCTGAAATTTGATAAATCGTAATAAATAAACAAGTGTAATTTGTACAGAGATGTTATTTAAAAAAATAACTGACAGAAAATGATAATTAGTTACACAAGATCTAGTATTATGCCGCTGTTTTGTTAAATATATACTGAATATACTATGTGTTTACAGTCTTTAAAATTACATGTCGATGACACATGACACATTTTATGTATGCCGTTGATGACACACTGACAATGCCAGGTCCTACATTTTGGCCATCTAATCCTCATTCAGTCGGTTCTAACGACCAGACATGGTAACGTTGTCTTCTGTTCCACTTTGACACTTAAACCCTGCCTCAGATAGACTGACAACTTACGGGTGGGCCTGGATCGCCAGATTCTCCGCGCATTCCCTGGAATCCCTGGGGTCCCTGAATATCAACACAGAGGAGTCATTATCTTCACTGTCAGTACAATCAAGTGTATAAGCAGAGTAAAACAATAAAGTCAGTTACTTATTCAATATAAATTTCTTTTTAAAACTCCGGGCAAAGGCTTGATCCTCTTTACGTAAGTGATGTATGATAATTTTAACACACTGAAGATATGCGTTATCTAATGTACTAATGCTACTTACGGGTTGTCCAGGAGGGCCGGGAGGTCCACGTGGGCCAGGTGCACCCTGTAATGGAGAATACAACAGTTATGTTCACGAACACAAAATGTACAGTTTAAAACATAAACAACGAAGCTACAGCCTACTTCTTTCACAAAATTGAAGCATATTCATTGTTAAAACTGCTTCTTTCATTGTAGCGAATTCTCTCTATAAATCTTAGTTGGATCAGCACCATCATTGTTTAACGTTAGGCGTCTTTACGCGAACACCTGGTGTCATCACCATATGATAATGATCCATAAACACGTGCTTATCAGAATATATCAAATCAGAATATGAGTTTTTGGAAAATGGAGATTTCTTAAAATTATGGAAAGAGTTTTGTCACTTTAAGTTGAGCTTAAATGGCGATAGACATGGCTGTCTTCCAGATCTTCAACTTAAAATGGCGATAGACATGGTTGTCTTCCAGATCTTCAACTTAAAATGGCGATAGACATGGTTGTCTTCCAGATCTCTAGCATGCTTCACTTACTGGTGAATAGTACTGTGGAGAGTAGGCGGGTCCGGCTTTGACATTGCCTTGTGTGTTCTGGGCCTGCAATATTGTACTGGAGATAAACATTGTGGTTACAGTGTGGCATCAATTCTAACTCTGTCAGAGGCAGTGCTATGTTACTGTGTTAAAATCACAGCTTAAATTTATTGATTGTGTCCTTCATATCAACCATATACCATCAATGAACATCTTATCAAATCTGAATTTTTCGAAGTGTTTATCAGTCCAGCTAATGGATACTATATCCTGACTCCATGCATTAGTGGTAACGCCACAATAGTGCCGTTATCTTCATTATATCAGTGTATTCTTACGTTACTCATTGTGTCGCCTGGTTTTACAAAGTATATGCGTCGTCGAGGTCTCAATAGTTCAAATTAACTCACGATCATTCACGAAGCAATACAAATAAGCTGGATTACGATTTACAGGGTTCCGTTTGCAGGAGAACAACACAGAAGCGAAGACATAACAAATGTGCAGTACATTACAAATACATTATGTAATCTACATTATTATTCTGAACTGACATACAATGCGATGGAGATACGTGTTGTTTAATCTGCGTCAATACAATGAACTTACGTACAGTGTGAAGGATAAATGTGCAGTGATAGCACCCACGTGTTTCTTCTTAGACAAAAATATAGCATTTCGAGTATAGTCCATTCAAAAGCCGTGAACGTTTTCTTTTAATGGAAAAAACACGTAGGTGTCTTTGATGGTAAATCATGTCACCAGAACATATATTGGGTTACAGTCAGAGAAATGATGTTTACAAAACGTGCTCCAAGGGGCGGATAATGATGACTGTTTTCTTACCGGATCAATGCGTCCACCACAACTAAACTATACAGACAAGGCTAACTACACATGTGATAGACGTATTGGTCAAGTAAGATGCGAGTGACCACGCCTGAGAAAGGGCACTTTGGGCCACGTTTTGATGTTGAATGTTCTAGTGACACGGGTGAAAGAGTGTCGAGAAGGACTCACAGTGCGGCGTCTGCCGCTACCACCACTACTTCTAGAACGACCCCTGGAAGAAGAACTGTAGGAACGACTGCTGCTTCTAGAGGAAGAAGACCTACTGGAACCGGAACTTGAACGAGTTCGACTACCTGACGCTCCAGATGTGCCATATGACCGTGTTCCACTAGATGACGTTCTACCGGCTGTACCTGCTGTGCCGGCTGTACCTCTAGTACCACTAGCCCCACCACCAGTACCACTAGCCCCACCACCACTTCCTGACGAACCACTACTGCCAGAAGAGCTGCTCCATGAGCTACCACCAGAACCTCCGGCACCGGATCTTGAACCAATATTCAAAGCCTTATCGGAAACACTGGAACCACTAGAACCACTAGAACCACTAGAACCACTTGTTTTTGAGCCAGCTGTCCCAGAGCCAAATGTGAAACCTCCTCCTGTTTTTCCTCCTGTTCCGCTACTACCGCTTGACCCAAAACTGAAACCGCTTCCACTGGTTTTACCAGTAGTACCACCTGAACCGCCAGAACCACCTGTACCACCTGAAACCGCCCACTGAACCCACCCGTACCACCTGCCACCTCCACCACCACCTGTACCAAAACTGAAACCGCTTCCACTGGTCTTTCCACCCGTACCACCTGTACCACCTGTACCACCGGTTCCGCCACCTGTGCCAAAACTGAAACCGCTTCCACTGGTCTTTCCACCCGTACCACCTGTACCACCGGTTCCACCACCTGTGCCAAAGCTGAAACCGCTTCCACTGGTCTTTCCACACCACCTGTACCACCTGTACCACCGGTTCCACCACCTGTGCCAAAGCTGAAACCGCTTCCACTGGTCTTTCCACCCGTACCACCTGTACCACCTGTACCACCGGTTCCACCACCTGTGCCAAAGCTGAAACTGCTTCCACTGGTTTTTCCACCTGTTCCACCAGTACCACCTGTACCACCGGTTCCACCAGTCCCTCTCTTACCTCCTGTACCAAAACTGAAACTGCTTCCACTAGTTTTTCCACCTGTACCACCTGTACCACCAGTACCACCTGTACCACCTGTACCACCAGTACCAAAACTGAAACTGCTTCCACTGGTCTTTCCACCGGTTCCCCCGGTCCCTCCTGTACCACCTGTTCCACCTGTACGTTTTCCCCCTGTGCCTGTTTTGCCACCGGTCCCAAAGCTAAAGCTACCTCCAGTTCCACCACCCCCTCGTTTACCGCCGGCACCTCCGGCACCACCAGCACCACCACCACCACCACCAGCACCACCAGCACCACCAGCACCACCACCAGCACCACCACCGCCGCCGCCACCACCACCAGATCCGAAGCTAAAGCTACTTCCAGTTCCACCACCCCTCCGTTTACCTCCGGCACCACCGGCACCACCTCCAGCGCCGCCACCAGCACCGCCACCACCAGCGCCACCTGCACCACCAGATCCGAAACTAAAGCTACCTCCAGTTCCACCACCCCTTCGTTTACCTCCGGCACCACCGGCACCACCGCCTCCAGCACCGCCACCACCGGCACCACCTCCAGCGCCGCCACCAGCACCGCCACCGGCACCACCGGATCCGAAACTAAAGCTACCTCCAGTTCCACCACCCCTTCGTTTACCTCCGGCACCACCGGCACCACCGGCACCACCTCCAGCGCCGCCACCAGCACCGCCACCACCAGCGCCACCTGCACCACCAGATCCGAAACTAAAGCTACCTCCAGTTCCACCACCCCTTCGTTTACCTCCGGCACCACCGGCACCACCTCCAGCACCGCCACCGGCACCACCGGATCCGAAACTAAAGCTACCTCCAGTTCCACCACCCCTTCGTTTACCTCCGGCACCACCGGCACCACCGCCTCCAGCACCGCCACCACCAGCACCACCGGCACCACCTCCAGCACCGCCACCGGCACCACCGGATCCGAAACTAAAGCTACCTCCAGTTCCACCACCCCTTCGTTTACCTCCGGCACCACCGGCACCACCGCCTCCAGCACCGCCACCACCAGCACCACCACCCACTTCCAGCGCCGCCACCAGCACCGCCACCGGCACCACCAGATCCGAAACTAAAGCTACTTCCAGTTCCACCACCCCTTCGTTTTCCTCCGGCACCACCGGCACCACCGGCACCACCGGCACTACCACCACCACCAGATCCGGAACTAAAGCTACTTCCAGTCCCACCACCCCTTCGTTTTCCTCCGGCACCACCGGCACCACCGCCTCCAGCACCGCCACCTGAACTAAAACTGAAGCTACTGCCACCCGTACGTTTACCACCAGCCCCCCCAGCGCCACCAGCGCCACCTCTAGTACTAAAGCTACCAGTACGTCTACTAGAAGGTCTTCTGGTACTAGCGCGACGTCGACTTCCTGCACTTCTTGTTCCTGCCTGTCTACGCATACGTGACTTAGCTATATCAGATCCCCCCTCTGATGCTTCATCACCGAGCATTTCCTGAAGACAAGACATCAACAAATACCAAGTAAGCATCAATACATAGTCTGTGCAAATGTTAGGGGAGATAACTCGTGCATCGAAGAGTTAAATGACGAGGGTTATCTCTGAAAGGAAGTGACGTAAGCTCTGACGATTGGAACTTTCTGAGCGGCTGAGAGTTCAAAAGATGGGTTGTCGTTTGTCAGAGATTCTGAGAGAGACTTTAAACTTTGCTCGCGTCAATTTTAAAGATCGTCTTGTCTTGAAAAGCCAAACCAAAACAAGACACTTGGGGACTAATGCAGGAGTTATCCCCCCTATTTATGTGGTGCATGTTTAATATGCCCATAATAAAAAATATCGAACTTACATCATCATGCTGACGTTAATGATAAATACTTAATAAAGAAAGCATGAATATAAATTCACATAATTTGAATTTTTAAATACATTTCTGAACATCACCAACCGGTCATCACTTAAAATAATGTGCCATGATTTGGCTCAGCACACAAGGGTGCAATACAATTTTGAGAGGTATACTAGATGTAAAGAAATAAATCATTTACATACAGTGGATCACGGGTAATTTGGATTTTTCAGCGTTCAAGTCCCTGATGCACATGCGCAGAGATGAAATTGACATAGAGGCGTAATCTTCGTAAGCCATCACATGTCACTCCCATTCTCGCGTGCGCTTATCAGTTTGGGCCTCGAAAGCTCTGAAAAATCGAAACATACTTGCAATCCACTGCATATGTATATTCAATCAGCAATTTGCTACAAAGCTGAAGCACATAATCCCCGAGTTTCTATAACTAATAACTGCTACCTCTTCTTTTGAAACAAAAATGACCATATCAACGCCTGCATCTTTGCGTACCAGGCCATCATGTGGCCTTTTTATTTCTGTCATTTCCTTCTCTGAAACACCCGATCGTCCACTGCTTCAAATTGATCCATTTGAAGTTTAAATTGTTTAAATGTATTTATGTAGCAAAGAAGACAGTTTAAATGCAATCTTAGATCACTGAATAAGAGATATGTAATATCGCATTGCGTGGAGACTTGGGCATTGCACTTCCGTTTCCGAACAAGGTACAGAATTAACTGGCTAAGATGCACGCCTGTGTGTTGGGGCCAAGGTTTAAAGTCTCGAAGTCAATATTATGAGTGCTGGCATCGACCTGTATAACACCTTGATATTGAACTCTATGCCTTCTCAGAGTGAATACACAAACATGAAGGAACATGCACGTGCATACTATGAACTAAGCTAAACAGTTGCCGCCTGGTGCACGTGCGTCTAGGTAACGCCGATACGCCTACCTGCTCTGTGTTTGAAGGTTTATCTGAAATGGAAATATATTTCATTATTAAATATTAATCGAGATATTAGATGAATATTGTACATCTCTTTGAAAACTTAGCTTAGGTCTATATTTATCCAGTGACGTAAGGGCGGAGGGGTAGCCTAGTGGTTAAAGCGTTGGCTCGTCACGCCGAAGACCCGGGTTCGAATCCCCACATGGGTACATTGTGTGAAGCCCATTTCTGGTGTCCCCCGCCGTGATGTTGCTGGAATATTGCTAAAAGCGGCGTAAAATCAAACTCAGTCAGTCAGTCCAGTGACGTAAGGTCGTGGTCTCAGTTGATGTTTGGGTTTCACCAGTTACTGAGGTTGAACGCTACTTTCAATCGGACATCACTATGTCTAGTATACAAATAATCATACTTGGAAAAGATTGATTTTTACCTTTGTATGACATAATGTATCACAGAATAACAAAACATCATCGTCATTTCCAAGTTCAGGATTGACAACGGCTCATTTTGTCATAGGCTCATTTTGCTGGCTAAAATATATTTTGCCGAATTCAGTTTTCTGGCTAAGCACTATTTGGTTGAATATAGTTCACTGGCTAAGCATTATTTGGCCGAGTTAACGACATGACACATGTTGTCAACACGGAACAGCTGTGAACAGGATACGGCCCCGTCTACAAATGTGTCCTTTCTCAGAGCGAAGTATTGTGTCGCCATGAACATTTGGTAGACATTGCAAATACCACTGCTCGGTCGAATACCAAATACGCTACTCCAATTGTCAAACCAGCTGTTGTGTAAGGTCATGAGGTGACTTAACGAAGACTAAAAAATCTCTATCAGTCCCGACAAGTTGTTGGTCCTCTCATCTAGTGGTAACATCGTACATTGTATTTTCATAATAAACGCTGACGTTTCTGTACGATCCTAGGATACTTCATATTTGTTGTATGTGATATTATTATGTCAGTTGGTCAAAGGCCGAAATTATTGTAGAACATGAATGATACATTGCGCACTTTATGAATACATATTGTTTCACCACATAAAAGATAATATATTGTTTTCACAATTGTAAGGGAAAGTCCGCATCGTTGGTTCTTGTTTCTCGAAGAACCAAATGTGTCCTCTTTCGAAAATTAACAAATGTCCCACGTCAGCTAGGTTTTTTCATAAAATGTAATAAAATATACATTCTACACATTGATGATAGTATGCGTTTAAGGAAGGTGCAGTCTTCTAAATACATTGCTCCGCATGACTGTATGATGTTGACCCACCTGGGCACGAGGCACAGCATACACCAACAGGCTTCACAGGCTCATCATCACCACAGTCGATAGACGCACAGGAAGAGGCTGTGTCCTTGCAGATAGCCTGTGTTCCACTGCATGTGCACACGTAGCATGGGTCAGTAATGTCCGGAATCCAACTGTCGCCATCGGCAACTTCTTCACCCGCTTCATCATAGCATTCGCTCTCAACACCTGGAAATGATATACAAATATAAAGTATGTTTACAAAGTAACAGTGTCGTGGTAGTAAGGGCAGTCATAGAGGTAAAGAATGGGTGTGGTCTACTTCGGACATGTACAATCACAGTACAGGAGGGGAATGAGGTCTGCCTATAACACTGACTGACTGACTGAGTTTGGTTTTACGCCGCTTTTAGCAATAGTCCAGCAATATCACGGCGGGGGACACCAGAAATGGGCTTCACTCATTGTACCAATGTGGGGAATCGAACCCGGGTCTTCGGCGTGACGAGCCAACGCTTTAACCACTAGGCTACCCCACCGCCCCCTCTGCCTATAACAACTCTAAAAGACATACACAATAACGCGCCATTATAAATGTTAGTTGCTCCTCCAGCTCAACATGTTATCATACCATTCGTCATCACATTATAATTAGGGGTTCTCAAACGTTGTCGACAAAGTATAATTTCATTTGTTGGGTGTGAATGATGGTGTAGTTGGGTTCTATGCGCGTACCAAATAACATCAGATGTGAAAATAAGGTGCCATCTCGTAGAACCCTACGACATCCCAATCCTCAACCCAAAAACGAATTCTAGGAAGACAACGTCTGGGAAACACTTCTTGTACAGACAAAGGGCACACCCTTTTTCAGATCCCAGTTATTTGTTTGGCATTACATTTCACTGTTTTGTCATGATATTTGTTTTGAAACGCTGTTATTGTTCAAATTAGCAATTGTTTATATGGCATTCGACTTTCCAGTGGACCCTACATAACACGACGAGAGACAGGATAAATAAACTGTTGGAACTGTTGTAAACTGTTGTTTTCAGGCTTTTCACTTTCTCGTAAGCTCAGGGTAAGTAAACATTATTGAAATGACTCTACACTCTTTAAAGTTCAGACAAAGCCATTGACCTACATGATATTTTAATAAATACCAGGTGATCGTGACATTCTGGAACATTTTCGCTCAAAGGTGAAAATATAATTGTTTTACATAGCATAGATGAAACAGCATGTTTATCCTCAGGCGGTAAGCGAAGCCTGCTATATAGCGTTAATCAGATCGCATAAACTTTGAATGCGGATATGTGCACACCATGTATAAAATACAACAGCATGGAAAAAATCAGCTGGATCGAATAATAGATTGATTTAAGCACCGTATTGCAATTAAGTAAAAGAAAAATATATGTTGTATGCATCAAATGCAATGATAAGCAGTGGTTCAAGAAGGTGCAATAATACTTTCTAAAAGACAGGACACACATATAAAATTGTAAATATATCTGAACACTAAACAACTTTATGTCATTACCTTGTTTAAATGATGACCTGACTACTATGTTAACTGATATAGTCCATAAATTATAGATAGTTCATTATTAAAAAATGTAAGTCAAACCTCCATGAACACATACATTTACGGTCGCTAACGATGGCGACTATAGGTGCTTTAAACTTTAGGGCAATGTATCTTAAGTTGAACAAACATTCTTCAGAGGTAAACTGATGATTTGTTTTGTTTAAATAAGAAAACTAGCTTTCATGATAGGCTCTTATTAAAACAAATTAATAATAATTCAATGTAGGAGTGCGGCTTCATTTAATCATTTGTAACGGCAGATAAAACAAAACCCTAAAAAGACCTACCACCCTACCAAGCAAGCAAGGGAAGCTAAGCAGAATGAAAGCTCGCATAGTAAACGTGTCATTCGGCAACGTGTCATGACCTTCATCTCAGCCATTATGCAAATTTTCGAAGTCATGAAATCTCATTGGTCCACTTAAGTCCCATGTGATCTGCCTAACGTGAACTATTGTCAATATTTTAAACTGACAACTTGTTGCACTGAAAGCTGGTTGCTGACCCAAGTATATTTCTGTGACATGACTATTCATATATACATCACGGCACCAGCAGCTTTATGGCACCAGCTAGGAGAGAGCATGCATGGTGAAAGCCCTGCGTAAAATAAGCAATCCTAATTTACATTTCACGTTCAAGGGCCGCGCTTTGGTTCTAAGAGAGTTAAGCGAAGTAAGATTAGCAAGCTTTGCAAAAGGTTCGACATACATTTGAAATTCAAGTACACGGACAATTCTTTTCAATCCTAAAATAGTTATGTCTATTGTTTAAAAATTCCTTTGAGTTATTAAATAGAAATTGAAAATTGTTCTAAAAAATCATTTTACAAGCTGCTAAATACTCTGGCATATGTCAAGAAACGCAAAAGTAATAGATACCAATATCTTCCCGAAGAGGTGACATTTATAATTGACTACATTAACATATCTTTTGACTTTTGAATGAAACCTGCCACGGCAACAAAATACGTTTGCCGCATTGTCACTTTTCGACGTGTACAGTTACTTTAAAGACCTCTCTATGAAATAAAACTTATCAAAACGTGCAGAAATTGAAATTAACCCACCTTGAGCGTGTATCACGGCTGCAAGAGCCAATAGGGCTATCAAAGCCTCTCTCCACATCCTGATGTGTAGTCCGACAAAACGTCAAGACATTCACAGACAAACTTTAAAATTACAAGATTGTTTTAGAAGCCAGAAAATGGCTTCTACTACTAGGAAGAGCCGAGCCTGAACTCCTTGGAGCTCAACAACGGATTCCTAGGAAGTTTGGATACAATATTGTCTGGCAGGCTTGTGAAAGCTGCCAACAAACCCGGTCTGCCAGACCAGGGATTTTATATGGCGTGCATAAAAAATGGACCAATCGGGAAGGCGAGAATTGACCCTCTCTCTGTGCAAGCCTGGAAACTCCAGCCTCCACACAGCTCCAAACTCCGCAGCTCTGCCTAAATGTAACCCGATACCTAAACAATGGATTGTTCTCGCCTCAGCATCTTTCAACTGTTGACGATAATGTACTTTGAATAACAGAATAATAAGAACAAGAATAAGAATGTATGCACAATCTCTGAAAAAAGAAAACTTATTTTCATATTTCTAAATTATTCATTTATATATTATTTAAAATATATGTCTATTAAAATATTTTAAAAAGTTCTGATTTGTTTCACCGACCAACCAATTTAAATGCAAAGTCATGTTTAATATGCAGTTAATTCATTTATTCCAGAAACACCCGTATTCACTTGTATTTGTTAACATAAATCTTCAAATACTGACAAAAAGCCAAGACCAAAAGTCAAAACACGGGAATACATTTATTAAAACAGAATAATATTGAACAATGTATTCTCTCTTGAAAGCAATGTTTAATTGCATTATAAAGTTAATTTTATTTCAATATTTTCACTAACATAAATGAGTTTCTTTAAGTGTTAAGCATTTATCGAGTAGTAATGTCTTGCTTTGACCTGAAACAAAATCTGGGTCACGTATGTTAAGCATCATGCAAATCTATCATGGTGACCTGAGAAGCCTAAAGCCCTCCCCCTGTGACCATCAAACGTTGCTATAATTGTCCGCAATACGACTCATGATACCGTCCTACTTTCACACCATCCTCTCATCGAAGAACTAGTTCTACCAAGTTCATATTTTTATTTCTACTGACTAAACAATTCCATTTAATTTTCGCTGAGTAAGCAATGCACATTCAATTATGTGTCGTGAAAGGCTAATTGTGACAGAATGTGTTTTTTCTCCCAAATATACTCATGCCAATAATGGTTGTCACCCCCTTCAATTTTTTTTATTGGAGAGCGGGTGGGGTGTGGGGTGGGGAGGGGTGACAACCATTATTGGCATGGGTATACTTTGTTTTTCATTTGTAAACTTGATATGTGGTATGCATGTGTGAATATATTTGAATACCAAGTAAGAAAAAGCAAGCATGGGAAGATATAGCGTCACTTGTGAAGTATGTTTCATTCGTGGTCTTTTACTAACTGTTCTAACGCTAATAACCATTAAACAGTGCATAACTAAATGTTTTAATATTTGCAAATGAGGATTCATCATTCAAGATGGCAAGAAAACCATCGAACCATTTGAACACACTGTGCAAAGGGTTGTAATATTTTAGTGTTATTTGAAAGAAAACGTTTTGAAACTATGTTGTACAAAGGGACCAACTGATATGGATAAAGAGGAGAGTAGTTATATTGGTTATTAATGTTACAAATGGAATATAATTTTCAATCATTGTAAAAATCCCGGTCAATGACCAGACAGTCAGTGACTGTCTGGCTGATAACATGAATTGACTTTTAGTATGTGATTTTAGCATGACTTGAAGAAACTGCAAGATCTGCATGTCTGTATGGACTATTCTCCTTTCTAGTTCAGGTCACAGCTAGGTCACACTGGGGTAATTACTTGACCCCGCTGCACCACATATCGACAAACAATTGCAGGAGATAACTTTTACCATCAAAAGTTAAATATATTATTTTGTAGTTGACTGAAAATGACATATAATGATGAATGTGAAACAGATGGAGAGCAGCACTCCTGGCGTGATTAGCGTCAGTACTGTATTCAATGTCGTGTTAAGTATTGTCACATCCGAGTGCAAACACGAATCACCTTCACACAAAACATGTTAGGATGTCCCCAAGTGTGAAGATATGTGTTCATATTATATCATTATGTATGTATGTATGTATGTATGTATGTATGTATGTATGTATGTATGTATGTATGTATGTATGTATGTATGTATGTATGTATGTATGTATGTATGTTATATGTATGTATGTATGTTATATGTATGTATGCATGCATGCATGTATGTTATATGTATGTATGTATGTATGTTATATGTATGTATGCATGCATGCATGTATGTTATATGTATGTATGCATGCGTGTATGTTATATGTATGTATGTATGTTTGTATGTATGTTATATGTATGTATGCATGTATGTATGTTATATGTATGTATGTATGTATGTTTGTATGTATGTTATATGTATGTATGTATGCATGCATGTATGTATGTTATATGTATGTATGTATGTTTGTATGTATGTATGTTATATGTATGTATGTATGTATGGATGTATGTATGTATGTATGTATGGATGGATGTATGTATGTATGTATGTATGTATGTATGTATGTATGTATTTGTGTGTGTGTATTGAGGGATGGATAAGAGGATGGATGTGTGTGTGTGTGTGTGCATGTGTGTATGTGTGTTAGTTTTTTATGTAATATACAATATTGTGTATATGTAACTTGATTTGTTAATGTGTGTTTGTGTGTAAAATTTGCATTATTTTGTTTCCTCAACCACATTGCTCTATTATTATCAAACTTTCCTAAAACCTCTGAAAGTAAGATGTGCCGTCACGGGACCCGCTGCACAGCAGCGATTATGGCCCGGTTGGTCCGCCGTAGAAAACCTGCAGCTGGATCCAATATGTAGCTGTTCCCAGGCGAGGACCCTGCCATGCTGGACGTTTTGAAGGCCCCCAAGCGACACTTGTTATCGTGTTAAAGACACAAATCACTTGTGGAATTCGAACATGGTCAGAGGAACAAAGACCCATGATAGTGGGTACCGCTGGTCAGATACCTCAACCTTGACCCAGTGACCAAGTATATATTGTCCATTATATGACCATTCCATTAATCCCATCTGTTTATCTGATTGTATTTTAGAAGGTGGAATTGTTAACTTAAAATAGTAGCATTTACATTTCTTAATAATCATGCCATGGATATATACAGCGAACGTTAATCAGTATGATTTATATGGATCATCTGCCGCTCAAAAGGCGGATGTTTCATTTTTGCTTAATTGAAACATGCAAAGAACTGTTATTTGATTGTGCTATAATTGGTACGATTATCATAGTTGCGCTTTGGACCATTGGACCAAGTGAGTTTGAAGTCTTTCAGCCTAGTGATATTTTGATGACGTTTGTAAGTTTTCGGTCAAATCTAGCTTTCAAGTCTATGCTTTCTTTGACCTGCAGCATGTACTAAGCACGTGTTTTGTCACTCTGCTACAGGGTAATGAAGAAAACAGTCATAAAAAGAATCTCGCTGACGGGACAAAAGTATTAGTTGCATTAGTATTTAGGACACTTGTGACATCGGTGAAAGGTAGCCAGTGGTGCAGACCAACTGAAATAGAGATACATCTTCATAGTCATTTCATATCATAGTCTGCAGGTTTGCTGGAGAAAGATTAACATGATTGAAAGAACGCGTACAGTTATATTGTATCTTCATGCATAAGTAATAGCTGTGTTATTCATGTGATGTGTATTTGTATTCAGCGTTATAAAACATATGTCTCGCGTAAAAGAACCAGAATATCCCCTTGAACTGTTAATTTATTTATCTGCGCACCAAAGGCACTTATCTCAATGCAGACCGCTTGACCCCATAGGCATAACATAAACATATAACTACGCATCTTTATTTTCGTTCCTAAGAAATTTGGACGTGGGTTGAACGTCAGTTGAAGTATTTTCATCCCTTTAAAGAATTATTCAGCTTGAAGAATCATGGAGACTTTTTACCAATTCCAATTGATTAAACCTTTGTTTATTTTGCCAAGGAAAGATAACCGCGAGGAGCAACAGACAGAAACAGATGTGCTGAGTCAGCAGAGTTAATTATACATGCCCCCGTGAACTTTGACCGGAGAGTGGTTACGCATCCATGGCAATGGTCAGGCGATTAGTCGGTGTAAACATGAATTCGCCCTGGCGATAAACACTTGACCATAAGTATCTAACAGACAGCCATTAATGCCTCTCCACGTTTGGGTTCACCATTTACAGGTCCCAACCGGATGTTCGTACAGGACCACCTTTTGCGTGCAGATTAGATACCTTTTTTATCAGTTGTTTTATATAGACTGATAATATCCTAACCTTGACAGAGTGAGTATGGTTTTATGCCGCTTTTATTCCAGCAACTTTACGACGGGGAACGTCACATATGGGTTTCGTACCTTGTACCCATTCGGGAACTGAAACCGCCTGCAACATAAAAGCTTCAGGAAATGCTGCATAGTATTATGTGCAAGGATGTAAACATATATCTCATGTCGGTATATTAACATCCATAAGTAGTACGGTCTGTTACCGAAATAAGAGTCAGTCTGATTTAACGCATGTTTCAACAGAACCTCAGCAAAATCAGAGCCTGCTAGCTTAGATAGGCGTCTAAAGTGAACGGTCCAATACGTTTACCATTTTGTGTCATGCATGACACATTTATTACTGGTATATTTTATGAACACGTCACAATAGCTGTATATAACCCAGCAGCTGTTTCATTCATAAATCTAACAAGAAGCGACATAGGGAAATGAAATAGTATTTTCCCCTCGGAACTGCATGCCTCCCGAAAAAGCAGATTATTAACGGAATAGAATTTAACCAAAGCTCGAATATTTTTATATTGTTAACATTTCTCCAGCTGGCATCAAGCAATGCTCACATGCTCATCAGCCAAACATTTGATTGCTAATGCAGAAATGAAAGCAGTAAATATGACTGGGCAAAATATACAATGTCGCTCTAACATGCACATCGTTGTGGTGCAGACCTTGAAACGGATCTGTCCCTCTTGTGGGTAATTAAACGTTTGTACGGCATCACGCGACTATTGTGACTGGGGTGTAGCTGTCAAACAATGCTTAAGTTTCATTTCAAAAACCACATAAAAAGTATCTACATGTCGAGGACTAGGCTGGAATCGCAGGAAACCCGAATGAACGAGTCACGAAGTTA